ACAACCTTATCATTCTGCAAGTATGTGTTGCACTCTTTTTTCCTTCGACCAGTTTTTGTCCCAATTGGGTTTTTCTAGTAAGGTCTGTAATGAGGCTACAATGTAAAGCATACCACAAAGAAAGGATCGTTGGGGATAGCGAGATCTCTAATGTTTGAATTCTCGTACTTATCATCCAAACACTGGGAGGAAACTATTGCATATTAGAGCACTAAAAGTGCCACGAAGACCAGGGACTGTTAGAACCAGGGTCAATGTCTTATCAGGACCAGGGACCGCATGATCAAACCCGTCAAAATAAGTTGTATAAATATAGCGACATGTATTTGGTAGCTTTATTTACTTAAGAAAATAAATGTTTGTGTAAATATACTTTTGAGAAAGGAAAGAATAAATCAAAGTTCTATTTGTTTTTATCCAAATGACAAGTTAATTTATCTAAGTTAATTAAACTTCAGATTCATGTGTCAAAATGAATAGGAGACATAATATTCAGGAGCACCGTAAACATAAGGGCCCTCTCTTATGAAACCCTCATAATAAAAGGGTAAATTTTGGAAAGTATGAATTCCGAGAATTAATGTTATCGGATGCAAAAACAATTCCCAAACTTTATTAGTTAAATAAAAAGAGTATTTTTTGCATAAGATTTAAGCAAAAGATTTCTTTCATTACATGAAATGTTAAACTACATAAAGAAGGTTTGGCATGGTTACAATAAAAAGGTAAAATACACCAATTATTTTTGCTTGCGGAACCCAAAGGGAGAGAAGAGTCTTCGGTTTCCTTTACATGACCGAGCAGGAATGTTCTCGAGAGAAGTTGGTTCCAATCTATGAGCTTTGGCAGTGGAATCATCTATGTTTGCAATACTCTCTTTGGCCTCCTCAAAAGTCTTCCTCCTCATGTGATAAATTGCATGAGTTTTCTCAAGGAAGAAATAATCTTCTTGATCTTGGAGTGTAGCTCGGAGCTTCTCGATTTTGGATTTAAGCTTAACATTTTCAGCCCGCACAATGTTGATCCTGGAATCCAGGTCAGTATTGGTTTTCGCATGAATCTGGTTCTGCTCCATAACCTTTCTGAGCCTTTCTTTCAATTTGTCTCTGTTCTCCCCAGCGCCAATAGCCTCTTCGATTTTCAAACGAAATTCTTCTTTCAAGTTGTGGATTTGCTCCATAAAAGCAAACTTACGCTCGGCCATGTCAGTTACGACATCATGTAGTTCAACCCGTTTGGCATTCGCCTCCTTGAGATACTCATGTAGTTGAGCAGCTTCTTAGTTGTGGGCCATTCTTTCTTGCTCTAATTGCTCCAGTCGGGCTTCGAGTTCGCCCATTTGAGCAACTTTTGCTTCCAAATCTGCGAGACGCTCGGGAAGCTGATTTCTTTCGAAAACAAGTTGATTTTGTTCCATAGTAAGCTCTTGTTTGTCCAAAATCAACTTTTGCAGGCTCTCAGAAGCAAGGAGATTAGCCTAAAAAGGTTAAAGTTGCGGTTGTGAAGGCAAAATCTAGCAAGAGAGAAGGAAAGAGAAGAAAGTTAAATTGAGAGATGAGCTGAACAATGCATGGTGTTGTTTATCAGACACTCGGCAAAAAGAGAGTCCATCTTTCGCCAATTTTTATCCGCGGCCAGTAGCTTCACGTAATTGGAGACCTCCACCATCTTGGAAGAGTAGGTGGCATTCATTTGAAATCGTGCGAATGAGGGGTTTGAATAGATGTGTATAAGTGTTCCCTAAATTTCCATAATCGGAAGACCGTGGGGAATGAACATCTTCTACCTATTCAAATGGGGCCGGTGGAGAGCTAGCAACGGGTGAAAAAGGTGTTGTTGTTTCGGTTGATGTAGAAGTTGATGGCGGAGGAGTGTTAGGGGTAGAACTCCTCGGAACGAAAGCATTGACCGGAGTCCGTAAAGGAGACTCAACATTTTAGGCAATTCCATTTTCATAAAGAGTCCTTGAACTTCTTCCTGTTGTAGTGTTAGAAGTTCTCCCGGTTGAGCTGATGAAGATCTTTTTCTTCTTTGAAGATGAACCGCTTCATCATCAATTCCTTCATCAACAAGGACCACTGTGGTTGGTCCGGTTGGAGTTCCCTTTGTTGAAGTCTTCTCCTGAGTCCTAACTGTGGAGGTACATTTTTTCTTTGATTTCTTGTTCTTGGGCTGGGGACTCAGGGAGGAAGCTCCTTCACCAAAGCAAGAGCGGCTTCACAAGCTCTCTTCCGATTGAGGACATTTTGTAATTGTTGACGAACTTCCTTTGGGTCGTTGCTCAATAGGAGGGAAATTGAAGACCCCTTTGGCAGGCCTATGTATTATGTAAAAGAGTCAGGAAATTGATTCTAAGTTATGTTGAAGGTCAAAAGGAAAAAAAGTGAAGCTTTTACCGTGGCTTTTGACTTTCCGCTCAAATTTAGGGGCCATTTTTTTCCACCATCGAGCGTCTGGTGTGAAAAAGTCTAAGATTTTTTGAACGTATCAGATAATGTTATTAATCGATGGTAATTCTCAATGAGTAGCTGGAATGAGGAAATAAAAGGTTAATAAAGTAGAAAATTCTTTTTAAATGCGATAAGGAAAAGATGTCTGAAGACTTATGAATAAGATTCCAAGATACAGGAATTAGAGGAGTTGTTGCCTTTAAGATGTCTTTGGTGACAATACCAACGAACCATTCCATCCAGCAATGGTCGTTGTTGTCATCAACACTAATAAGGATGGCATGATGGCCGCGTATGCTGAGTTTAAGCACACCCCACGTAAGTTCTTCGGGGAATAGAGATTGCTTAAATATGCAAAAGTGAGGAATTCCATAGACTCGGAGCACAATTTTCGAAGGCAGGACATCGTACGCCATATTGATGGACTCACTTGAGCTACCCAGATTTTGCAACGGTGGCAAAATTCTAAAATTATGGAGTCAATTTCCTTATTCAACTCCAAAGTAAAAGGTAAGTATAAACAAACATGAACCCTGATTTGCTGAAAGGTGATCCTTTCCACCTTATTAGGGGCAAAGATCTCGATGTTATCCCAGTCACAATCTTCTGTTACGACTGACATGTTAGAAAGGAGAATGGAAGAATGATACATGCGAACAGTCTAGTTTCTATCGCTTTTGGGATTAATATGTTCTTTTTGGATTTGAAGGTCTAACGGAGTGTTAAGTTGAAGAGGTATGATGGTGTTAACGATAGGAATTTCGGAGTCAGCATCGACTCATTTTGTTTTGTTCTTTTTAGGGCCTCCACCGAATAGAAAGCCGAAATTTCCCGGAACAAAAATAGTAGAAGACATGGTGGTAAGAAAATTGAGTTATGAAATTTTACTGAGGAAAAGAGATTTTGCAGTAGGGTTCTAAGATAATTTGAAGAACAAGAGGAATTTGTAAAAGGAAAAGCTAAAAGTACTGAGTCGAGAATTTTATAAACGGCATAAATGATGTCATGATTACCTTGAAAACTGACGAAAATATTTATCAAATTACAAAGTAACACGTGTCCTTTCAAATGTCATAAACTATTTAACTTACCCACTAAGGAAAGGAGTTTTATTTGCTTTCCGGTAACACTAAAGTATCGCCACCGAAAAGTAGGGAACTATCTGTACACGGTAAAATGGTTAAGATGTATGACTAGGTGACACGTGTAACTGGAGACAGGTAATATATGAGTCGGTAAATAGTTGACATCTGCTATAAACATGAGTTCAGTGCTACATAAATTCCGAAAGCATGGGAGCCGATAACAAAAATTTGAAAGGAAGACATCGGTTGGGAAAGACACCATTAAATGAGCATCCGTTACAAAGAATCTCTTTATTAATAACTAACAGTTATGCAAACACCAATAGCGATTTTATTTTTATTCAAGAAGAACTTGATTTGAGGATCTTATCTCCCTGAATAGAACTATAAATACCCATAGAAGGACATAAAATATACTGCACACAAAAGCTAAAATCAGCTTTTATGTATCAAATTGCTCTCTCTATTTATTTCTTAATATGTTCTTGTTACTGCTATTAGAGAAGCTAAATTCATAGCCAAACTTGTGTTTCTCTTAAGATATTTTTATAATCTTACTTCTATTCTTATATTTCGTATTATAGATCAAATTAATTCACGTGTCTATAAACCACATTATAAATTTAATTATACCGTGTACGAGTAAACAACTTGTATATGATCGAAATCGGACTCGTCTATTAGATGACAGATCGAGATTTAAATGTGAACGGTTGAAGGTCGACCTCTTGTTCCATCGAACTAGGCCACGAGATTTAAATGTGAACGGTTGAAGGTCGACCTCTTGTTCCATCGAACTAGGCCACGAGGTCCGAGTGCCCGTCTTCGGGTCCGTGATTCCGAAATTGACTCTGACACCGAATAAGCTCGAGGAAATATCAGACCGAATAACAGAAGGCAGAAATATTCGTAACCGATCGGGTATCACGATAAAAATCAAAACATGTATCAATGACACATCGGCTAACTAGCAAATCATAAAATTTTTACCTCGGCTAACTAACAAATCATGAAATTTTTACCTCGGCTAACTAACAAATCATGAAATTTTTACCTTTTATAGAATTGTTCCTAAAGTAAGACTCTTTGTTCCTAAAGTAAGACTCCCCTACTATATAAAAGAAGTTTTGTTATTTGTAAAGCACATATAAAAATCATTCAGAAGCAATATACTGTTATTTCTCTTCAAGTTCTTATTCAACTGTGATCGAAGTACATCTGTTATTTCTCTTCAAGTTCTTATTCAACTGTGATCGAAGTACATCCCGTTCAAGGAGAAACCCACCCCCCACCCCACCCCCCGTGATTTGAATTTATTTTACCATACTTAATTCTAACTGCAATTGTAATTAGAACCTTGAGATCAAAGGACAAAACATAAAAAGCACACGCGGAGAAAATGATCAAAAGTACTTTATCTACCGGAGAATCTGGTGTTGCAATCGTAAATTGGAGAATTCACTGATGATTCTAGCTTAGACTTATTCATATCCGAAAAAATAACGGTATCCATCACTTCTCATGTACTTACAGAAAAACATTAGAGTAGATTGCTAATTCAAGCTTAGACTAATTTAGATCCTTACGGTCTACAGGCCTCAAAACACTTTACGCACATGGTGTTTTTAGCTCGTGAAATTGGACAAAGTAAAGCAGCACCGTAACAATAAACAAAAAACAGAAAACCAAAGACCTGGTACTAGCCACTAATCATCACTAACTAGTCATCAGATTACCAGTTCTCACCACGAAGTTGTCTTAGAATCCTACCATGTGGTGAATCAGGATCACCTCTCATAGCGTTCTGTTTCCATATCTCCATCGCATTCAGCAGAGCCTCTTCAGCAGTCTCCAATTGCTCCGGCCTCCATACCATTACCCCGCCGTCAGGTGCGGGATAAAATGCGACACCAGCTCCCGGTGGTGCATCAGTCGCCTGTGTAATAGGCTTCCTCGTATCAGCCATCTCCATCTCTGCCAATGGAGATGGTTTATGATGCTTGAAGTATTCTCTGTCATCTTCTAATTGTGCTCCTCTGTCTTTCGCTTCGTCAGGCCACGGTGTACCGTCTAATCCCACGCAGCTAACATCTTCTAATGATAGCGCTCCATTGGAGCGGCTAACATTGGATTTCTGTCGCTTTTGCTGTGTCAAAGGGTCTATCGGTTTGTTTACCCCTGTACTCTCTATCTTCTGGGATGACCCGGTTGGTGATTTTGGTGGCGCAAATGCATCGTTATCTTTACCGGGATTTATATTTGGTTGTTTCCTTTCGTTTTCTGCTACTTTTACTGATTCTTCTAAGTCATCTCCCTGCAAATTAATACAACGTACTAGTTCATTGACCCCAACAAACTTTTAAAACAGGTGAAGCTAGTGAATGAAAATGTAATTGCAACCTAAACTTACAACGTCCTTGGATATATAGAATCATGTAAATTTGAATGTGTAAGCTAACATTTTTATAAAAATTAGACCGACTTACCTATACTTTTACTAAAACACAAAATTAAAAATAAAAAATAAAAAATAAAAACATAATAATAAAGGGGATACGATCCTGTTGCACAGGATAACTTGTTAGTTGAGCTAGCCATATCTAATTTTCTATTTTGACCTAAGTAACTTTTAACATATTGAATCATGATCCATTTATTAATTTCACCTGTTTTTATATCGTCCAAGTTTGACTCAGCCCCCAATTTACGTTCATCATTATCACAAATTCAGACATTGAAATGGTTGAGATTTAGTTTGTAGATCACTTACTTCAAGAGGTCCAGAATGGACGGCAGGATCAGCTGTTCGACCTACAGTAGAAGAGCAAAATCTGTTTGGGAGGTATTCAACACTCTTCTGAGATTGTGCCAATAAGAGTCGATGAAGTTTTGTAGCTGAAGAAATCGCCACTCTTGTTTGCATCTTTGAGCTTTTGTATATGCAACAAATACTACAACTTTTATAATGGTTTTCCTCTGCATAGAATCTATATATAAGCAACTAAAAACTTCTGATCACTGTATTGGTGTGTATTAGTTGGCGTGTCAACTTCTCTAGACGTGGCTAGAGCTTCTAGTGACTCCTGGACTCTTCTGCTTTCGTGTCAATTTCTCCACGTTTCTCTTCCAGAATTGCCTAGAAAACATGAAACCATTTTCTTACAAATTTTTTGAGAAGAGTCTTTTTTAAAGTAAAACTATTTCCCTTTAAGTAAAATTGAAATTGCCCAGGGGCAAATTACACCAATTCACCTCAAACATTTATGAGACATTAAATTTGCCAGTGTAGATGTATGAGAACATATATGCCCTGTATTACACTGGAGTTGGAAATGTGTCGAGATTGAAAAACATATGGATCAACTAATAAATTAACTTCTTCTTAAGATATCAGATTATTGGCCACAATAGTCCAATATATACATCCACATCCTATTTTAATTTTACCCAACGAGCATACATATCCAGAACCCAATTTTACCCTCTCTTTTTTTTTTTTTTTGGTTTTTGATGTAATTCTTTACTCTGTTTGTTTCTACTTAGACTTAATCTAATTACTAATTAGACCTTAATTCCCCCAGTGCATTTATTTTTTCTACAACTAATTCGGTTTTCTATGATATCTTTATATGATCCGAGGTATCGACTTTTCAGTAGTATAGTCCATACGGCCATACCACATGTATATTTGTACACGACATTAATTAACATTGAATTGTTTATTCAGATTTTTTTACGAAATCTTCATATCATCCGAACTATCGACTTTAATTTTTAGTTGTATAGTCCCCGCTGCTTGAATATTGAACACAACATTAATTTTTTTAGTTTTTTATTTTTTTATTTTTTTTTATTTTTATTGTCTACCTTTTACTGCATGGGAAGAAAAAGGAGGGTTGCAATTTGCAAGATTATCCTTGTTTTTAGCATAGAGATAGGGAAAGAGTATTCCGTCCTGTCTTCTATATTTTATTTTATTTTCAATGCAATCTTTTGTCTATCCTAAAATCGGATAACAATTAAATTTATACGTGGTTTTAATGATATGTGATATAACTTGGCACAATTTAAGAAGATAAATATTAATATTGAAACTGACTGCAAAAGAAATAAATGCAAACCGAACGAATCGAATAGCCTTGGCCCTCGAGTTCGATCACCCTTGAACCAAGCGAGGTTTCAACTGATAATGTAAACAAAAGAAAGGCAATGTATTACTTTTTATTGCGTAAATGTAATATGTTTTACAACTAATCAGACCCCCTTTATATGGTAGGAGAGTCCTACCCTTGATACAATTCTAAATATAGTAAGAAATCTCATGATTAGCTAATTAATCGGCCTCTTCTTGATTCGTGTTGAGATTTTCGCCGTGATCCTTGCCCAATTGCGGATATTTCGGCTTTTCGTTATTTGGCTCGATAAGCTTACCTGGATCACGCTCGATCTCTATCTTGCTCGGTCTCAATCTTGGCCGATCTCGTTCATGATCGGTCTCTGGGTCACGAGCTCGGCAATCTAACTTTGCTCCATGGTTCGTTATAACACGAGGTTGAACCTTGGCATATCATGTTCCAGTCTCAATTAGTCATACGAAAGGGCAAGCCCGGTTTTGACCGTATACAGATAGTCCCCTCGTTTCTCGGAAAGAAGATGACGAGAAACGATATAAACTTTCTAATCCCATCTCGATGGGCCATGACGTAAGCGATGAACCCGACTATGACGTAAGCTACAAGTGGATATCGAAATGTCCCGTCGGTTCAGTTACCGATGCATTAAATGCTTGCCAGTTGCTGGTCGGCCACTACCGAATCTGAACCGTCACCAACAAGCTATAAGTACTGTCACCTTCCTCCACTCAAACTTTACGTTCAAAGTTTCTCCCATTCTTGCTTCTCTTAAAAAATCTCTTTGCTTTGCAACTCTTGTACCCAAATTTCTTGAACTTTTAGCAATCGCATACCATCCTAATTCCTTTTCTTCTATAATGGTACAAAATTCTAAGACTGTACCGCAAAAGGCGACCTCCTCTTCATCACGGCCTGCTACGTCGGAGCTACGGCGGAATATCCCCTTGAGGATTTCCTTCTGGGAGGGTACCCTACTGCTGCTGACTTTAAGATTGAAAAAACCTCCTCGGTACCGGGTCGATGCGAACGGGTCTCGAGGTATATATGCACAATTACCGACAACCTCCTTGACAAGGTTAAAGAGGATTGCAACTGGGCCGGAAAGCATGTGGTGGTACCTTCGCCTTAGGAATCGATCACTACCCACGTGGAGGGGTTCCTAAGTGTTTACACTTACCCGTTCACGTTGGGTCCCTTAGACCCTGTCATCGTCGCCTTCCACAAGAGGTAAGACGTGACCCTTCGCCAGATCCATCCTTCTTTCTGGAGAATATTGATTCTCCTCCGATTTTTCGTAGACAAAATCGAGGGATGTCCTTTCACCCTCAATCACCTTATGCGCCTTTATAGTCCCTGACTCTATCGAGGAAGGATGATCAAGCTTGCTCCCCGGGCCAGCAAGGCCCCATTCTCGAGCATAGACGAGGCTCGTGACCAAGGTTGGATGGGCCAATTTGTTCGAATAAGCACTTTAGACTTGATCCCTGCTGAAGACATGTCGTTTCCTGAGAAATGGAATATCAATCGTCAGTAGTACTTCGCCTTGAATGCTCAATTTTGTAGTTTTACTTCTCATCTTCTTTCCTCATCTAATTTTTGGTGTTGGAGCTGTGGCCTAGGTGCCGGACGTAGTTCCTGAACTCAAGCAATGGGTCAAGGGCCTGGTGTCACAGAGACCATACTCCGAGCGTGCTTGGATGGAGTTATCGAAGGGAAGATGGGAGGCCCTCAACCATGGTAAGTTTCTTCCTAAAACGGTTATCATTCGGGATTCTTCTCGAGCTTGCTCATCTTTTATCCTTTGTAGGCCTGGGGAAGGATGTCGCAATGAGGCCCCCATCTGGTGGCGAAGAAGTTATTCCCCAACCACCTACTCCAAAGCAGGCCAAAGAGAAGAAAAGGAAAGGGGCTCCGAGTCCCCAGGCTCGGAAAAGAAGAGGCCGGCGAGGAGGTCTCGCAAGACCGGGCGAACACCAGTGCTATGCCTTCGTACTCGATCCGCCGATTAAATAATGAGTCCGAAGAAGAAGAAGAAGAAGAAGAAGAAGAAGAAGAAGAAGAAGAAGAAGAAGAAGAAGAAGAAGAAGAGAAAGATAATTCCAGGCTAGTGGCTCGTGTATGGGCTGGTGCTTCGATACAAAAGTCCTCCGAACCGGAAGAGGTTGATAAGCTAGCTTTGGCCGAAGTTCCTGAACTAGAAAGAGTTGAGGCCACTCAGTCCCAAGCTGAGATGGTCGAGAGAGAGACCAGGGGCGAGGCTTCCCGAGCAACGGAAGATGTCCCGAGGGACAAGCTCGGAGTGATCGATATTTTTGGATCTCCTAAGGTTTCGGACGCTATGATCCGTGAGGCCAATATGTTGGAAGGTCGTTCTTACGAGGGTCCTCAGGGGGTGTGACTGATATCCATGGTTTCTTGGATAGGGTTGAGTCCACTGCTTTGGAAGACGTCACCAGGCTTGGTGACCTGTCGGTACCAAGGAAAGTACCGTCATCGGGTGCTACTAGCTCTTCGTCGAGCCCAAAACTGGTGGACCCATTCCCGGCCCCAAGTGTTAACCCTGACCGCAGGCGGTCGATAGTGCTTTCTGTCCCAGAGGATGCCCGGGTCTTCTCTTCCCCCGTGGGGATTGCTAGCTACCTTATATGCTTGGTGATCGAGGAAGACCAAGCCGTGATGAATGTCGTGAGAGTTGTTTGCCTGCTTAATGAGGCCCAACATGCTCTGAATCCAGAAAGTTCGAGGGTCACTCCATTATTTCTTTTAAACTTTTCTTTCTTGCTTGCATGCTTCGGTGTTGCATCATGACGTTTTCCTCCAAATCTGGGAGGATCATGAGGCTGAGGTTCAGGAGCTCACCGAAAAAAGTGACACCTACAAGCTTCTCAGTGAGAAGCTTCAGGCCGATTTAGTAACGGCCGGGATGAGCATGCCGAGATGGCCAAGCAGGAATTTCGAGTGCTTCACGATAGTGAAGACGAATTGGAGATAATGAATAACGATCCGATTTTGTAAGTCCGGCATAAGCTCGAATAGATCGGGGAGCTTCAGAAACAAGTAGATACAATACAAGCCGAGGCTGAAGAATTCAAGAAGAGGCCATCCAAGCAGAGTTGGAGTCGGCCGAGTCCCAGCTCCGGGTTGTAAGAGAGAAGCCCTCGGTGCAGGTCAAGACAATTGAGGAGCTTCAGTCCCAACTAGACTCGACTATCTCTGATAAGGCAAACTTTGCCAATGAACTAGAGGCGACCAAATCTGAGGCCATGGCCAACACCAAAGCTGATGCTAAAGTGGCCCAATATAAGGTCGACGTCGAGGCCATCCAGGCAGCATGGTGGATCATGCAAAATGGAAATCTTGAAGGGAAGCCCTCAAGGGGGCTCACGCTCAAGGCTTCGATATTATGGCCGAAATCGATAATGCCAAAGAAGAGGAAACTAGGGCCTGGAAGCTGGTCTTTCCTGAGGAAGACTCCGAGAGCTTAAGCGATTCCGAAGACGGGGAAGATCCGGAGGATGGAGATGCTACCTCCGATGAAGACCAGGCTACTTAGGACTTCATATTTTTGCTTTCTTTTGCATATTTTTTAGGCCGTTTTGGGCGTTGTAAATTTTTGTATTAGGCCGATCTGGCCTTTGTAAAAAGATTGTTTATATATATATAAGGCTTTCTTTCCCTTTCGGCTCTCAAACTTTTCCTTTGCTTTATTATTTTTGTTCACAAAGGTCGAAATGACTTAGATTAAAATAACTTAGGTTGTGTAAGTTTGAACAAACCCTACCTTTACATTATTCTATTTTGAGGCGTTTTGGGTTCGGTGTCACCGGGAACTTTCTCCC